AATCGTACAACTCTTTTCCATGATGCAGCCTCTTTATTGGATGGATTCAGGCAGTGTTACCACTTTCACATCGCTAATTTACGTTTGAAAGAACTAGGATAATTGAAATACGCACCAGTGCATTCAGCACAAAACTGTGCACTTGTGTAACCGCTATTAGAAGTCAAATCATGACTTCGTGCCGCTTACGATCCTGTGGCCGCTTCTACCTGGCCCTAGTGTTCGCGATTTTGCGAAACGCGTGACGTGCCTTGACAGTACCGATGCGGAGAAGAGTATTATTACCAATCACTCAGTGCAGACGACAATGTCTGGAAGCAGCGATTCCGAAGAATTTTTTGATGCAGAGGATGATACTTTTCATCATAATGCACGGTAATTTTTTAATTTATTTTATTAAAAATTTTATTTCGAATATAATTTTTTCGTATATATTGAACATTTAATAAAAAATATTGTTACATAAATTATATATATCTAGTTTAGATATAACTAGAAAATTATTTATTATAAAATTTGATTTCCAATTTTCATTCTTTTTAATTCGATATATCTCAATTAAAGTTCTTATATATACAGAAATTTTTTTCAAATCGTTTTTATATATCTGATTTTTATTATCGTATCATGTTCTTAGTAATTATCTTTGGTTAGGTCTGAATTTAAATACTTATATCAGATATTCATATAATCGTATGAAATTATCATAATTGGTAAAATTTATAAATTTTTTATGGATCTAAATGTTAATATTGTTAATTTAGGAGATTTTGAAATAATTTTGTTATTGTATAGATGTATTTGAAGAATTATTAATTTATTTAATAAATCATTTATTTATTTTAATACAATTACATTTTTTAAATTTTAATATTTGTTTACATAATTACAATTATTTTATTTATTTAGAGTTTATAATATGATATTTAGAAAAAATTTTATGCATATTCATTTTTTATATATTATTTAAGTATGAATATATATATATATATATATTCATTCATATATAATAAAATAGATATACAAATAAATTTATGATATATAAATAAATTAACATTTTGTTAAAATAATATATTTATCTTATTTTATATTTCATATTAAAAAAATTATTTTTATAATTAAAATATTTGGTTCTTATAGGAAAAATAAACAACGTGATTCTATCAGTGTTGAAACACAAAGTAAGGATACATCAGAATCATCCAAAAAAATGGATGATGATGTTTTTGTGAAACCTGCTCAACCTAAACCAATTGTAGAACCAAAGGAACATATAATGATAGAATGTATAGTTAATAAAGATAAAAATGTAAGTAGTTGTCAATATTAAAGTTATAATATATGTAATATATATATTTACCATTCTATTAATGTTTAATAAAATTTATTTATTTAAATAGGAAGAAAATGGGAAAGATTTAAGTACCGATAAAAGTATAGGTAGAAGAAGATTTCGTGAACTCAGACAACGTATGCAAACAGAAGATGATGATATTGCAATTAATAGTTCCCCTCCAGATAGTCAAACATCATCAATCGAGGGTGTTTATCCTACTCCTTCAAAGACAACGCATCCATTTAGGATTATAGAACATGATACCCTTAGTTTACAAAGCATGACATCTTTAGGACGAGTGGGACGAATTTTGGCTGGAGTTGGGGACAGTGCATCTACTACACTTGCACCAAATGTAACCCAGTGTCCCCCTTCTGCCATCCTTACCCGTGAAAGCCAGATGTCCTCCATTGCTAGTATTCCAAGCAAAGACGAGGACACAGCATCTGGTAAGGTGTCCCAGTCCTCCAGCATCCTTACGTTATCAGGGGATATCCTTCAGGAATCCTCTGTTAACAGTAGGTCCAATTATATTTCTCACTCACAAAATGATAAGACTGTTATGCTTCAAGAACCTGATGTCATCGCTAGTACAAAGAATAATGGAAAATCAAATGAAGATATTACTATGGTTGGAATACCTGTTGCACCACCAAGACGTAAAAAAAAGTCAAAAGTTCAAACACCTTCTGATCTTGCAGTACGATATTTATTAATATAATATTGTTACAGTAAAAAAGATATTTTGTAAAATTATTAAGAATAATATTAATAATAAAACAAGTAAATATAGATTTATGATTTTAGCCTTCTACAACGGAATCGGTATTATCAGCATCGCCGTTACCAAGTCCTGCGAGTACTATCGAATCCATTACCAGAGAATTTGAACATTCTCTTGATATTCGATCTGCAACGAAAGGACAATATGTTGTTAAACCACAAGTAATATTATATATTTGTAAAATATAATTTTAAAATATAAAATCAAATATAAATTGTTAATTTTTGTTATTATTTATATAGGATGAAGATAAGTCGAAAGCCGAAGGCCCATCAACCGAAGAACTGGAAAGGGTGGAAAAAATGAAAGCTGAATTAATGAGCGTGAGGTCGAGTGACAAATCTAGTAGTCCATTGGGATCCATGTCTAATAACAGTATCGGTCGATATTCTTTAGGTCCTCATAAATTATCAGGTTTAAGTCCGCAAGGTTCAAAAGAAAGACGAAAATCGGCAGGTGATCAAGATATGGTTCAACAATTAAACATGTTTGTAAGAACAAGAACAGATTCTGGAAAACGTCTAACAGATATGGTATATACTTGATTGAGAAAATTAGAAAATGTTAATTATTTCTTATTGCATATATATATATATATATTTTAATAATATTACGTTAATAATATTTTTAGGAAATCTTGGAGCAAGTAACCGTTTTAAATTTGGATACAGGAGAAAGAGTACCATTGAGTATAGCAGAAGATAAATTACCGCAATGTATTAATCCTTTATCGCTTCATATTATGAGACTTACTTCAGAATATATAAGTAATTCTAGTCTAGAAAAAGAAAAAGAAAGTGACGAAGAAAGTGTTGATAGTAAAATGTCTAGTATACCACCGGACGAAGATGTATCTGTTGGTAGAGTTCGAAAAAAAACACAAAAGTTGAAACGATTCTTAGGATCTACTGTAAAAAAAACAATGGACAAAGCAAAATCTATTGCACAAGAAGTATCGCATGCAAGACATAAAGAAGATGTTATGGATATAGTAGACGAAGTATATCCTGGTGAACAGCAATACATAAAATTAAAAGCATCTAATAGTCATAAAGGACCATATGAATTTAGCTGTTTACAGCATGTTCAAGATTTGAGTGGCGAACATGTAGGTCCTGTTTGGTGTATGAAATTTTCAGTTTGCGGACGATTACTTGCCACTGCAGGACAAGATCGAGTTTTAAGAATTTGGGTTTTGCGGGATGCTTTTACGTATTTTCAAGATATGCGAACTAAATACAATGCCGAGAAAGTTAGCCCAACTCCTTCCCAAGAATCTTTGGTTTCACAACAATCTATGGAAGATCCTAATGTTGTGGCTAGTGCCTTTAGTGAAATAGAAGGGACGAAAAGTCCTTTTATGCCAAAGCCTTTTTGCACTTATACCGGACATACCTCGGATTTACTTGATGTCTCATGGTCCAAAAATTACTTTGTCTTATCATCATCAATGGATAAAACTGTTCGACTTTGGCATATATCACGAAAAGAATGTTTATGTTGTTTTCAGCATATCGATTTTGTTACAGCAATAGTATTTCATCCTCGCGATGATCGTTATTTTCTTTCCGGATCATTGGATGGTAAACTTCGATTGTGGAATATTCCAGATAAGAAGGTGGCTGTGTGGAATGAAGTGGATGGACAAACTAAATTGATTACTGCTGCAAATTTTTGTCAAAATGGAAAATTCGCGGTAGTTGGTTCTTACGATGGCCGATGTATATTTTATAACACGGATCAATTGAAATATCACACGCAAATACATGTTCGATCAACAAGAGGTAAAAATTCAACGGGAAGAAAGATTAGCGGTATTGAACCTATGCCAGGTGAAGATAAAATTTTGGTTACTTCAAATGATAGTCGTATACGATTATATGATTTACGAGATTTAAATCTATCATGCAAATACAAAGGTTACGTTAATGTCAGTAGTCAAATTAAAGCAAGTTTCAGTCCAGATGGGCAATACATAGTTAGCGGCTCGGAAAATCAATGCATTTATATTTGGAAAACTCATCATGATTATTCTAAATTTTCAAGCGTACGTAGAGATCGAAATGATTTTTGGGAAGGTATAAAAGCTCATAATGCCGTAGTGACATGTGCAGTATTTGCACCAAATCCAGATAGTATTATTAAACAAATTGAAGAGAGAGAACATTGGGAAAATAAAGAGGATGCAAAATTAGGTAGTTCAACCGTAGATGTTCCTCCCGTTGATCCTGTGGTCGAGCAGCGTACTAAAGGCTGTGGTGGACATGTCCTTGTGAGTGCAGATTTCAATGGCTATATAAAGGTTTTTCTAAATAAAACAAAACCTAAACATAGTTCTTTACCAGCATCTGCTCTCGCGTAACACAACATTAGATTGATTTATGCACTATTGTTAAAACAAAAAAGATTAATAAGAACACCAATATTACATACAAATATTTGTTTTACCTCAGTGAATTATATAGAACTCGCTGTATGCTGTTTTTAAGGTAAATACTTTTAAGGTATTAAATACTTTCGAAAACAGAATATTTTGAGATGCATGCCAAAAGGCTTACTTCACAATAAGAAAGCTTCTATAAGATAGTTAGGAATATTAAAATATATAAATTTGTGATGCTCAGGCAATATATATGTGTATATATA